TATATATATATATATATATTATTTTAGTCTTCTACTCAAATCTATCATATAAAATTCTTTTTCTAATGCCATTGTAAGTAAAAATATTACATTAAACCAATTAATACTACAAAATTATCTTAATCTATCAATGTTAATTATGTTATTAATAATACTATAAATTGTCTTAATTTATCTCGATCAAATATGTTATGATTAGTGTATTTTTTGTGAAAATATCATATTAGACTAATTAATACTACAAGATTATTTTAATTTATCACTATCAACTATACTATAAGTGATCATGAGAGATTACAATAATATTTTTAAAATTACAAGAACTAAAAATCTAAAATGACATTTTAATATTAAAAAAAATAAAATATAATTTTTATATTTTGAGAACTAAAAACATGTTTTAAGTTTGCAAGCCTGAAAAAAATATATGCAGGAATTAAAATAATATTTATTTGAAATTATAAGAACTAAAAACATAAATTTTAAATTTAAATGACAAAAAACACAATTATCTCAAATTTAGACAACTAAAAATACAATTGAACCAAATAAGATAGAAATAAGAATGCTAAATAGAAAAAGTTTAATTCTCACTCGGATTTATCATGCACAACATCACGATTTATAAAGCAAAACATAACTAAATTATCTAAATTGCACCATTGAAGTTGCTCTTCCGGGAAGGTTAAGAATAAACTTTAAACCAATTTAAAATAATCCCCCTCTCAATTGTAACCGATTAAATTTTATGATTATTAGGAATACATCCAAAGATAATGCCCGCCCAACAGTCGCACTACAATGACATATATAAAATATGCACTAAATTAGATACTAATTTGCGTGAGAAACATTTTAAAACCTGAAAGTCAGAAAAAGAAAATTAAATAAACCATAGAAAATATACTACCTCAATCACATTAATCCAAAATTTAAAAAATATACTACTTCAATGATGATACTAATTTACGTTTAATAACCAAAATAATAGTAACTAAATAAATTTAAGAAAATAAATAGAAAATGGTAATTTCCTTTTTAAAAACTGATGGTTTATCTTAGTGACATCGAATAATGGGAAAATATGTAGAATGAGAATCACTAGCAACACGCTTAAATTTTTGATTAATAAAGTCCACCTTCAAAACAAACCTCTCAAGCAAATAAATAATTTCTGAAGGGACCAAAGAGATCCATGTAGACCGGTAAAACTATTTAACAAATTATCCATCATGACTTTCTTACTAGCATCTAAAATAGAACAGTTTCTGTACTATGACCACAACTCTAGCTTACAAGTTTATGATAATACAATAAGATCATCCTTACTAAGAAACCTCTATTCAAGATAGAATCCAAATTAACACAATTAGCCTTCATAATCTCCCTGAGCAAATTTGTTCTCTGGATAGAAAACAGCTATTACTTGATTTCCACCAAATTTTCGTCCATTCAATCCAGCACGGGCCTTAGTAGCACCATCTACATCAACATACTCCAAAAACACCTGCAAATAAAAAAAATATTGTTACAGTTTATAGCATGTATAAACCAAAAGCAAAGCACCTTGATAAACAATTATACATAAATATTCATTTTCCAACAGTAATTTTTGAAATCACATTAACATTATTTTCATTACTCAAATACATCAACCCAGCATTGGGAATGAAAAAAAAATGACAAATTCTGCACGCTTAATTTCTATAATTGACAAAAAAAAAAAATGATTGCAGGGAAGACTGAATTTCCAAAATAGGTCGGAACCACACCTTTCCAACTCCAGGGGCAGGTTCACCATCAGGCGGGGGACGAGGGATCACCACATTTACCAATGTACCTGCATAAAGTGGAAACAAAAACGATGAACTATGCAAATTAATTTTCAAAGTCATGCAATGAACGAGCATGTGAGGACAAAGAAGGTTATAGAGGCTTCGGTCTGTAATTTAGGCCTGATTCTCTATGAGAATGTTGGACTACAAATGGCTGTAAAACAAATAATAACACAGAAAATTAATATGAATGGGTTATAGTTTACAGTGTGACAAGCAAACTAAATCAGAAATTACCAAATTTGGAACACTCCTGTCTCATATCGTCAAGAATCTCTTCATAGTCTTCATCATCTTTGAGCTCATCAGCAGAAACTGCATGAGTTAAACACACCACCTTCGTTGCCACTAACGCTGGCTGCAACATAAGTTTCTACAGAAATCAAAAGTATATAGCAGTTAGAAATTTAAACATGTGCACCCATGATCTTGGTAACAAATACAATCAAAGGGGCAATCCCATAAAACCTGCAGTGCAATTTGTTGCTGTGCGTGCATTAAAATGCTCTCTTGCTCAGGTTTAGGCTGTTGTGGGTTTGCACCTTGATTAGCTCGTCTAACTGTAAGAGTCTTATCTCCCATTTTTATCCCATTTAGAGCAGCACATGCAATATCCGTGACTGCAAGATCCTGATAAACACAAAATGCATAACCCTTTGAGTTACCCGTCTCCCTATCTTTCACTAGATCAAAACCGCGTAGAGGACCAAAAGTCTCTAAAAGCTCTCTGATCTGTGTTTCAGTAAAGTAATAAGGAAGTCCACCAACAAAAATCCGATCAGGACCATCAAGTCCACCAGCCGACCCAGGTGTTAAGCCAACAGCAGCCAAATTAAGGTTTGGGTTAGGTTGGCTTGGACCTAGGGTAGCAGCTAAGGAAGGATTATAATCAGTAGGTCTCCTGACCTTGACAGGTGCCCCCTGAATTAAAAAAGAAAATTGGATTATCACCAATGGATATACTTGCATAAGAAAATGAAAAAGGAAACCAAGTTTTGCATTCCAGTTAAAAGGCCACCTCAAAAATAATCCCATCCAAAGCCATAGCATTGCTAGCTTCCTCAACAGACCTCATCTCCACAAAGGCAAACTTCTTGTCATGATTAATGTAAACATTGACCACTGCATCACCTGCACACAAATTAAATCAATTAGGCAGATTATAGAGTCAGAAAAATGTCACAATTCATTCAGGTTTATTATGTACCTGGGCCAGCAGTATTTCCCCCAATCTTAGCCATAACTTGACTGAAGAAAGTTGCAACCGACTGCAGTATAACAAGATCAGGAACACAAAGGTTAAAAAAGCCAAATGTCAAAAACAACAGGCTAAGAATACATATCCAATTAGTTTTCCATCGATTATGGCATTAACAGCTACATATAGTGGGACCGGGACACAAGCATCCTTTCCTCATTTGACAAAAATTAGAAGCATCAGAAGTGGAGAGTATCTAAAGATTATTTGATGAGACTCAACAAGCTCAATCAAATGATGAAACAAGTAAAATTATTTGGCAAACAAGACATGTAGCAGATAGCCAAACCAAGCCCACTATTCCAGGTTAGAAATTCTGATATTATACATTACCTGCTCATTAGCTGTAGGAGGGAGGCCCCCAACATACACCCGCCTAGCATGTCGTGTAGCCTGTAAAATGGGTACATCAAAGACAAGCAATAATCAGGGAAATGCTAAAAGGAAAATAAAGTATCTCATTACACTGAAAAAAGCATATTTACCTGTTGTGTCATAGCCTGAACTGGCATGACAGGAAGAGCACTAAATGGCTGCAACTTAAAAAAGAAAGAAACAAGAATAGTGAAATTAATAAAAATATCACACTGCATAACCAGAACTGGGAAAAAAGAAACAATTAATACCTGACTTGTAGCCAATGGAAACATATTTGGAAACATTCCAGGAATTGCAGGATTTGCCCCAGTGATCTGACCTGAAAATAATTTGCACCTCAGTAATCAGAACAAACTCATTATTTACATTTTTAGCAATCCTAGTACATAAGAATCAAATGACTCCTTTTGCTCCGATTGGTACGAGCTTAAGCATAATTTAACCTCATTGCATATATTGTATCAATAAGATTAAAGGAGCATTGTAAACGAGCTTTAGAGATAATATTTGTGTCTACCAAAGTAGGTAATGTTTCCAGTTGAAGACGAACAAGACCCACCAAAAACAGGTGCATTGATTCCTCCGTGGACATAAAAGCTACAGATGTCGGCTCACGCCCATTGTCAGCACAGTGGGGCTAGTAGCCCAACATTGCCTTCTTAGAACATATGACAAGACATAGAAACAAAACAAACAAACACCAAACACAAGACAAAAAACCAAAGCATCTTTTAGTTCCAGAATTATATCACTAAGTAAAAAGAAAGACAAAATTGCACACCATGGGAAACCATTCCTCAAAGGCTATGTACTCAGATAGTAACTGAACAAAGCTTACCAAGTTAACACCATGCAATTTGATATGAATTTTCCATACTAGGACAAAGACAAACAATGAGAAAAGGCAGTTAAGATTAAAATTTTAATAATATATACATGACTAAATGTACCTGTGACAGCAGAAGCACCAGCCAACATAGCAGAGGCAGGAGGAGCCATATCAAAACCACTAGTCCTTTTGCTGTAAGTAAAAAATTAGCTATTTCAACAATGGGTGCTATTTTCAAGCCAAGTATCAATCAACAATAAACTCGACCACATTCAACACAATTCTTAAAACAGGAGGTTTTCAAATGATTAACAAGCAGCAAAGGGTGTCCTGCCACCTATTTTTGAAAAAATATGAGGTGCCTATCATTTGGCCATATTAAGGTCATGTAATTGTACTATTTCGTCAAATTTAATTTGTTAAGGATGTATCTGAAGTTCTGAACTGGAATAAAATGGCTTTTTATTAGTTATCAATCTAAATTATTTCGTTCTTCCACATGCATTCACAACATTATACTACTTCCACTTGCACATCCAACTTTTTTTTATTTTACAAACATAACAGAATTCTCAAATGGCAGTCAAATGCATGATATTTAGCAGACGTCTATTTATTGTATGTTAAGGTTCTTTCCAAGATTTACCTCTTTGAGCGTGAACGTGACCTTGATCTATGCTCAGATCGACCCCCTGACTGGGAAGCAGACCGAGACCGAGACCTGCGCCTGTGCCTGTCCTCTCTATCATAATCCCTTCGTCTGTACTATTAAATAATGTCACATAACAATTGAAAAAAGAATATAAATATGAATAGAAAACAACTGATTGACATAAAAAAGTTACAAAGGTTTTGGAAACACAAGTGTCAATTCAGATACAAGACAATACATTGCATGTAATAAGAATATCAACAGAAAAACTGATGCTGGTGAAAACCCTCAAGCTCCAGCTCAGAAACAAGGCATTAAGATCCCAAATACACTTTTACCTGTCATAGTCACGGCTTCTGTAATAATCATCATCATCTCTATCCCTTGTCCTTTCCCTTCTCTCACTGCGTTCCCTGTGTCGATCTCTATGATGGCGATCCCTGTCACGGTCTCTTTCCTTCTCACCATCACGCTCTCGCTCCCTCTCCCTGTCTTTGCTTTTCTCCCTATCTCTATCCTTCTCCCTGCTTCTCTCTGAATCCCTATCCCTACTTCTCTCCCTTTCCCTGTCCCTCCCCTTTTCCCTTTTCCTCTCCCGGTCTCTCCCTTTCTCCCGTTCCTTATCTCTGCTTCTAGAAGACTCTCTGTCATAATCGCGAGATCCATGCTGCCAAAAGATAATCAAAAGATTAACAGGGAATAAACAAACCCCTAACATTCAAACTTGATAACAATAACGATGCACATTAAAGTCAGGCAAAAAAAAAAAAAAACATAGTTGCAACAGATATGCTTGTTCACACTCAGCATGACGGTGAGCGTACAAGAATCAAACAATAGGCAAACACAAGCCACAATTACAAACAAACCTGCAAAGAATACATAACAATCGCACATAAAATCCCTGAAAAGCAACCAAATCCAATGTTCCCAATTTTTAATTTACATTAATTTAAAAGTAGCATGTGAGAAAACCACATAATAAAGCATCAAGGTTTTAGTGATAACTTTGCGATAGAAGACAGAGCATAGTACACAAAGCACATACCAAACCAGAATCTAAAAATCTCTAATTACACAGTTAAACAGTGATAACAGAAGGGGGGAAAACACAAAACAAAGCCTAAACCCAAATCTCCCCGTAACCTACACACCGCTAAATAGTTCTGCAAGCAACAGTGGAAAGAAAAGACACAGATATGAATTGTTGAGTTGAGATAAAAAAAGAGGGGAAACAGAAGAACCCTGAGCCGAAACCCAGCTTAGAGAAAGAGAGAATGCATGAAAAACCCTAATTGCACATCAAAATGTAACGGCGCAGAGATAAACATAGAGAGAGAGAGAGAGAAATCGACTGGTGAGGGAGAAAGGAAAAGAAGAAGAAAAAGAGCGTTACGTGAGATTTGGAATCGATGAGATCGTCGTGATTGGGTTGAGGAGAGGAATCAGGATGAGGATGAGGATGAGGATGGGAATTGTGAAGCTCTTCTTCTTCTCCGTTCCCTTCGTATCTCTCGTCGTATTCGGCCATTCTCTCTCTCTCTCTGTGTCTGTGTGTTGAGTTTGGAGCAACGCAAGTGCTTTCTCTCTTTCCC